CAGATGAAGTTAATCAAATAACTATTCCGAATTGAACTATTAGTCGATTGACTTTAATATATCATAACGTTCTAACAAAGAAGAGGAGCATAGCGGAAGCGTTAGGGGACGAAGGCGAGAGGCATCTGTCTAGAGACTTATGACTCAGCATTTTATGAATGGTTATTCAACAGAGTAGTTAAGAAAAATGTAGAAACTATGACGCAGCATTTATATGAGAGATGTAATAGGGTGAAGTTCTAGCAGCCGGGGTTAGGGGACGCATCCTGAAATTGCCAGAAAAAATAAAAGGTGCTGTTCGCAAAGAGCAAAGCATCGTATTTTTTTTATATTTTATTCTATATATATATATATATATGGACTTTACTTGCTTGTTATCAAAATACTTCATTAGTATTTTCTTTTGAACTTAATTCTTAAATGTTAATTTCTAAGGTACCATTTTTGGAATACTTTTGGTTTTGACTTTTACCCTTGCCTGCATGAATGACGAACACGAATTGAATGATTGGAGAGCTAGGTTTGGAGGCAACTTTCCTTGATAAGTCTGTCTCCTGCCTACTCTACGGTCAATCACATATGCATTTTTAAAAAAATTTTTAATTTAATTTTAATATTAAATTAGTAGATTTATTTATGAATAGATTTGCACTTGATTTCTTATGCTCTGAATTTAAAGGATATGTAGATTAGGTCGATAATAAATCTTTTACATGTTTGCACTTTTTTAAAATTATTTTAAATATTTTGTTTTTTCCTTTTTTTGAATTTAAATTTGCTTTTTACTTTTATACGTATTGTTAAGAATTTTAATTTGTTTAAATTTAAAATCTATCTATCTATATATATATAATTTCGTTTCTTATAAAAGTTTCGTTATAATTCTCTTTATAAGTAATTTTCTGCTTCTGTCTTGAATTCAGGCTTTTATAGCAGAAGATAAATCTTGTGATTTAGTGAAAGTAGAGTGCAAAATTTTAATGAATATTCAGTAAATGCTTTGGAAGTTTCTTAATTAATCATGTTTATGTAAACATCATGATTAAAACCAGGTTTTGCTTTACTCTTCAATTTGTTATTACAAAAATAAATGCATTCTTTTAAAATTTAAAACAGCAGTTTACTATTATTTTGAGCGCTCCTGCAGGTGTATGTACTGAATTTTGAAGGTCGTGATTGATTACAAACGTATCCGTCTGTAACCTTCTCGGAATGTCATCGAACTTCACAGTCTATGCCAAAGAGTCCGGTTTCGGGAGACAAGCCAAAGATTGTCTCATACGTGTAAATTTGATATTTTATTTACAAACCAAAGTCAATGTACAATAAAAAAAAAAACCACGGAAAATTTCAGGTTACAGTTTAACAACCTGAACAATATCAATTATTAAATTTCTCAAAAAGTTTTAAAAAATTAGAAATTAAAAAAGGGCATAATAATTGTTAAATAAAAATAAGTACAATTTGATCTTGATGTGAACCGGGAGACCGGATTAAAATGTAGATTTCGTTATTTGTCCAAAATTAATTTTTTAAAATTTGGTACTGCCAAAACATGAATATTCTCGTTATTTAAAATACTTCTATAATCGGAATTATATGACTACTAACAACGATTGCGAAAATAAAGGGCGGATAAGGATTTTTTAAGTCGGATAAAGAGGTTGGGTGTATATGTAAGATATAATAAAATACGATGGCTATGCTAATAAATGATATTTGGTGTTCTCCGAAATTCGAGATCTTTCCAAGTCACATAACACTGCTTGAAAAATGGAACTAAAAACTAAAATTACCAATCACAGCTTAACTATACTTATGCAACTACTTAGTAAATAAATTTCCTAATACTTGCACAATAGCTGCAAAGTAATATAATAGTAATTTATTTACTAATGGAATATTGAGTATATTATGTCCTAATATATAAAGTTAGTAGAATTGTATCTGAATGAAGTAACTCAGAAGCATTGAAATTGAATCCCAAAAATAATTTTTTAAAAGGAAACTTGAATTTTAATTATGGAAACTTCTAAAATGAAAATTAATCAATAAACTATGTAATTATAGTCATTGATCGGAAATGGGTTGACTTTGCAAGGGGAGCAAACCAACCCCCGTTCAATTAACATTAATTAATAAATGTTGGTGCTGCCGATCGTTTCTGAGTTATACACGTACGTACGTATGTACAGACTTGAGTCATGAAAAAATCTCTTCTGAATCCATTTTACAGTCCTTCTTGGAAAAGAGAGAGCTTTATTATGTCCGTACGTATATGTAAGAACGCAAAAACAGGATGAAATGGATTATAGAACTGTCAAAATGGATATTTTCGTTGAGATATGATACACGAAATTATTTGCTTTTACAATACTTCCTTTACTTCGTACAAAAAAGTAAAAAATTTAAAGATTTTTTATAGCATTAATTAATTGTATGTACTTAGCAACTTGCAGTTGACTGATGTTGCAACGGTTATCCGTGCAGCCTACGGTATCCTGCTTTTATATCCCTCGTATCCGATACAACAGTTTCCAAAGCTTATGAAAGGAAGCAAATCTCAATCATTGAAAAAATACGTGCACATGAACAAGCAATGGGTTACAAAAACAAAAGTGCCCAACATTGATCCATAAAAGAAAATAAAAATCCTCTTAACATATTGACGGAAATAGAGGAATACATTTTTGTCACTAACCAAATATTAATTTCAGGGTGGCCTATCAAAACCCAAGCATTATAAGTTTCAAATATAAGAAAAACATGGCAATGTGCACTTTTAAACTGACAAAACAAGCGATCTTATTTTGGAAGAGATTTTGAATAAAATTTTATCATTTCGGAGGACAATCAGATACATCCCTTTTCTTCGGGAGCAAAAATTGTTTCTGCCAAAATTTAATTTTGTTCCTGAGGAAGAAGGACCTTGTGTCTGATATGCTGAGAATCAATAAAATTTTATTCAAATCAAAAAACGGTTGCTTTTATGAGTAATTTTACATTTCATTTTTTTTTTTTTTCATAAACACATTTCTTTGCTACGCAAATAGCATTACAAATCAATAATAACGTTCATCGTTTTGAACAGCTTTTATTTACACATCTAAGTGTGGTTAATCGAACTTGAAGAATTTTGAATGTGTTGTATCATCATAGAGTTTGGCTTAAAATGAGTATTTTCCTTCGACATACCACATGCATGCAAAGTTGTACACAGTTCCAGTTCTCTGGGCGAAATAAAACTAAAAGGGAAATAAAAAGCCTTTCTTCTTCTTTAAATGTTATTTGATTTCCTTTCCTTAAGCAAATTTTGTAAGATTATCAGATGTCCGGGATTTGTAGTTAAGTGCAAAGATGTGTTTGGGAATGGAAAAATGTTAGGTACTTTTAAACGAGAATCATCCAGAAAGAGGTTAATTACCGATGTCAAAGGAACTTTTAAACTTGAAAGGAAATTCCAAATATTCACGTAAATCCCACAAATATTATTCAAGAAAAACATTATCCAATGAAAAATATGAATGCGATGCGAAAATGTGAATATGGAAGCGAAACTAGATTCTGCACCATTCACATCATCATCAGGGTACATATACTTTTTCAAAAAGGTATCTCAGTCTCTTTTTCAACACCTTGAATGTTTTGTTGTTCTTGCTTTCTCTCACTTCTTCATATCTTCTTTTATCTGTCATATAAGCTTATATAATGTGCATATGTTGTAAGTTTCTAATCACTGAAATTAATTTTTCATTAAATGCTCTGGAGATGGTTATTCGCAGAAAATTTTCAAGGTTGTTGGCATTAAAGACAAATCACTAAACAGTGTATTACAGATACCAGTAAATTTTAATATGGAACGAGGGTTCTCAAGTAGATTATAGAATGCAGCTGCTTCAGTATAAGAACGCCATCATTATGCATATACTTATTACACTTTTTCCTCAATTCCCAAGGGATCATATGGCCCTTCCTCACAAATGCCCGTGGTCTTGGATTCTCGTCCTTGAAATATGGTAACCGTAGGTTTCTACCATATTTAATCTTATACACGCATATCGCACGGGGAAGGTAGTGTAAAATTTATTACCGTCTATTTTTTTACTATCGAACTTCTACTATGATAATGATATGAAAATTTTGATTTTCTAAATGGTGAATTCATGTTAACTGTATCTGTGACTATCCATATTTTGGGTAATTGATTTTTATATCTAGTCAAGAGCAATATTTTTATATCTAATCAAGAGCAATTTTGATAAGCCCATTTACAGCACTTTTCTTTAGTACATTTATGTGTTATAAAATACAGCGGTATAAAAGTAATTTTTGAAAGATGAAGAATTTATTTTGCTCTGTTGTACTGAGGAAGTATATCATTTTAAAAGATAAGTTTTCCCCATTCAATTCTAACCGGAAGAAAAATAAATTCCTCTTCTCTTAGGACTCCATACAAATAATATTCGTACTTGAATGATTTACAAAAGTGTCTTCGACTTATTTAGATTTAATATTAGTATTGTTCTTATTCCTCTAATGCTCCATAACATACCGTTCCATATTTGCACTTTTTTATCATTTTCAGCTTTCATGAGTATGTAGCTCAACTTGAAGGTCATGGCTAATTATGAGCGAGTGACTATATTCAAGTGACTCTTTCAGGGTGCCATAATCTTTACCTACCTATTATGCTGCACTCTATCAAAAAAAAAAAAAAAAAAAAAAAAAATCACTGAATATTATGGTTTCTTGGCTGTTTGGCAGTCTTCCCTTTGTTGTATTGCATTTCTCGTGCAATAAAAAACGAATCCTGATATGCAATAAAAACATTTATGTCATCAAATAATGTTTCGCAGATAGTACTGGAACAACGCCATAATTCAAGATTTTTTTTTCGTATGTCAGCGAGTTTTTTCCCCCATAAGTCAGATTTTTTTTTTTTTTTTTGCTTCTTCATGAGCTGTTTTAGGTTTTGAAATAGTGGTATTATCTCTTTGCAGGTTGGACGTCGTTGCCACACAGAGAATCCTTCACAAGAGAATAACCAAAGCTTTGTACACTCGTTCATTAGCGCAGAACGGGCTAAGTTATGAGGTTTATTTATTTCTGGATGCTATTCGCTTTGCAATGTCGTTTCGGAGTTCAAGGTTCAGGTGGAAATGTTCCGAAGCGAACCAACGGCATCTACCATTGGAATAAGCAAACAATTGCAGCCCAGAATTCTCCGTATGTTGCCAAATACAGAGAAGAAAAACATTTGAACATCGCTCAGAATTCCAGCAGACGACTCTTCGGGTAAGTTGTCGCGCGGCCAGATTTGATTGCATCGGGCTCATCTTCTTTTTTCTCCCCCCTTTTTTACCCTCCTTAAAGAGTCTCACTCAGAAACCACAGTAGGTCCAATTTCCTGCCGTTAGTATTTATTTATTTATTTCATTTCATTTTTTTCCCGAATAAGAATTTATTTGTCACACAGTTAATCTGTTAAAACATTACGTAGCCACTTCTCTTAATTTGGTGTTTTTAAAATAATTTTTATTGAAATTAGTAACTTATATTTTCAAATTATATGACTTATATTTCAACTTTAAAGTTGTATGAATTGCAGTATATGGGAAAGGGAGGGAAGAAAATGTCGTTTATGTGACATCAAAAAATAAGAATAGTTACTTCTGAGTTCATATTAATTATGCTTTTTTTATTTTTTGCTAACAAGAATTACAGCATAATTTTAACAAATTTTATATACACTTTTTCAAAACATCAAATTAAAAATTAAATCACAAATTAAGATCATATTAAAAAATAATTATTTGCGAACGAAATATAAGCAAATATTTTTTTTCTTTGAAATATATGTAAGTTTCATCAATATATGTAAGTCCTCACTGAAATTACTGATTTAGCTGAAAATATGAGTTAGCGGAAAGAAGATTCTCTACCATTCACATCATCATCAGGGTAGATATGCGTTTTTTCAAAAAGGAATTTCAGCATCTTAACCACAAGATCACCGAAGAAATCATTGCAATGAAGTGCATTTTCCTGTTGCATACACCGTTCGTTTTTAAAGCAACCGCATAGTTCACAAAATAATATTTTTCTCGCATGGTATTTTATGGTAGTAATAATAATTACTTCAAGCAGATTATTCAAAAGTCCCTTATTTAACTCTAGGAATATGGTAAGAACACCATATTCCTAGAGTCCTCACTTTCAAATTCTTCCTTTTCCACTAAATTAACATTTTCAAGATAATAAATAAAGCAACATCTTCAAGATGTGCAAAATACAAATATTATATTAGCAAAATGCATTTCTGAAAGAAAATTATGTCTAAATTTGACAGAACTGCCTTTAAAATTTTAAAGCGATCAATGGGCGTTTCTGGAAATGCATTTTCTAGTGTTTAAAAAAGATGCATTTTAAAGTTTTTTAGTAGCATAATTTCGATGATCAGCTGCATCTTTAAGTATTTTTCACACACTAATGAAACGGCATGCAAAAATGTCTAAACATATGAAAATGTATGCCTGGCCCCTGAGATCTATTTTACATTAAAAATTTCTCTAATTTTATTGCATTAAGTATCATCAATTATTATAAATTTCTAAGAGCCATCAAACGTATTATCAAAAGGAATGAAATATTAAAAATTCTGTAAGATGAAGAAATTTTATAAATTGTATAAGAATATCAATATAACATGAAAAAAAGTCTTTTGTTTTGTAGGGTTTATATTTATTTTAACTAACATTTATTTTAAGTTTAAACTATCTTTCCTGTCAAGCCTTACTTTCCCCTGGAACTGCCAATGCCAGAATATGTAAATTTTAGTAGAACGCGCAAGGATTCAAATTATCAGCGGAAGTAGTATGATTTAAATAGAAGGAAACGAGTTCGGTGAGAGAGTTATTCTTACTTAGCGAGCGCGGAGGTAGAAATCGAGAATTGAAGAACCCCGCGTTGCGGCCTATGTGCTTGGCGGGAAGTAGTTGCAATTGTTCCAGTGAGCTTCAAGTCTGCTGAATTAGCAGCGGTATTGTAAAACGCGGTGAGTTAGTTATTTTAGAGAGCCTCGTAGTTAGAATCTTGTCTTTATTTTCTTTTCAGGTTATTATTTTTATTTTGACTGCCTAGTTGGCACAGTTTGTAAGCGTCAAGAGGACGCAATTGTAATTTAGTACGTTGAATAAAAAGGGACTTAAACCCTTTACAAGACTCTGTGGTTTATACAAGCTTTCACAGTCACCCTTGGTTGCGTGCAAGTTGTAGGCGCGCAACGTTATATTGGCGCGCCCGAAACACTTATCGAACTGAAATGGCCGAAAAACTGGATGGAAGCCGCTGGACAACACCAAGAAATGACAACTCAGTTAGAAGGATTTGGATACCTGGTTCAGACTTTGAGAGCATCAATCAAGCCAAACGTCTATTTCGACGGAAAAAAAAATTCGGGTGTCCTTATTTTTAGAAGGTATAGAAAAAACCACTTTCAGCTCTACCCTGTGCCTGAAAGACAAAAAGTTGCCATCGCCACATCAGCACTAAGAGGGACAGGCCGCGCTATGGTGGAAAAAATATAGGCAAATTTCTTCTAGGGTGAATTTGGAAGCCCGACGTATACTTTTGAAAATTTCAAAAAATCGTTAGTAAAGGCCTTTCCCATAGTGAAAGATCGCGCACGGCTGGAAGCCGAGCTATATAGTTTCTATCAACGGGATACAGCAGAATTGACGGACTTTATTTTACGAAAAATCAAACTAACGGATATGTTGTATGGGAAAGAACCCGATGCGGAGATAATTGAAATAATATTACCAAGATTGTTACCCACTGTCCAAGACTACTTTGAAATTAGAAACCCAACCACATTGCAGGAACTTTTCGAATTGGCGGTGAAATTTCAAAATCGCAGAATAGCGGAAAGAGCGAGAGGGGAAACATATTCTCAAAGTACCAGAAGGAAGGAGGAAACCAGAAATGGAAATCGCTCATATGGGGGAAAGAACTATCAAGCTAACGCATCGAAACTCGAAGGTCAAGGCCCAAAAAGAAAATTTGAAAATAACCATCCGCGTACCCAGAAGACACAGATTGAAAGGAAAGCTTTAAAACGTAAACGACTAGAGGGGCCTGTGAAAGGGAGGGTCCAGACCCCAGAAGGAAGTTTAGAAAAAACCTCAAATAGACATCTAAATACAGTCATCGTAAAAAACTCACAGCTACCAATTATACAAGTCCTGGTTGGCGATTGTACCAGTAGAAGCCCTCATCGATACAGGGGCAGAAGGAAATTTCATGAGTGAAAAGTTCTTCAAAAAGAATTTTTATAGGATACGACTATTCAAAAAAAAAACCAGAAAACACGGAAATTATAGCGGCGCAAGGAAAAACATGTCACTGCATCGGGAAAGTATCATTAAACTTACAGATAAAAGAGGAAAATCTCAAAGTATTAATTTTTGTGGTGAAAGACCTCCAACACTCTCTTATTTTAGGTATGGACTTTTTAAGGGCCGCGAGGGCCCCAAATTAAATTTTCAAGATAGTTCCGTGGTGCTGGAGATGGACCAGAGGGTGGTGGAACCTGCGGAGACACCTGAATTGGACCTTAGCCATTCTGAATGACCAGGAAAGTAAAGCAATACAGCAAGTGGTGAGTAATTTTTTTCATTTGTTTTCAGAAAAAACCGGGAAAAACTGTCAGATCGTGACTCACAAGATTCAATTAAATGCCGGAAAAAAACCTTGTAGGACTAAACCGTATCGCTATGATAAACAAAAGACTTAATCATCGAAGAACATATTCAGGAGATGTTAAAGAATAAAATAATAACGCCCATAAATAGTGAATACGCGAGTCCAGTCGTACTATGTAGGAAAAAGAACGAGTTTCCTCCTTCGGATAAAAGGGCTTGGAGGTTTGCTATCGATTATAGAAAACTAAATAGCATAACTAAATTTCCAGTTTACCCTTTGCCGGTTATAGACGAGATCATTAGACAGATCAAATCGACAAGATATATGTCTACTTTGGACTTAACGTCTGGCTACTATCAAATAGCTATGAGACCCGAAGATATACATAAAACCGCGTTTATAAACAAAATCGGGCACTTATGCATTTTTACGCATGCCTTTTGGGTTGTGTGGGGCCCCATCAACATTCCAGAGAGCTATGGACATTGTTCTAAAGCCTGTCCTAGGAAAATCAACTTTAATTTATCTAGATGATATAATTATAACGAGAGTAGTACGTTGGAACAACACATTAATGACCTCGAACAAGTTTTTAAATTATTAAAAGAGGCCGGTCTTACAATTAACGCCTCAAAATGCAAGTTCGCAACTAAAGAACTTAAATATCTCGGTTATAAAATTTCGCAAAAGGGTATAGAAACGCAAGATTCAAAAATAAAAGCTATTAAGAATTTCCCACCGCCCAACACCGCCAAGAAACTTTCGTCTTTCCTTGGACTATGTTCTTACTATCGATCTTTCATAAAAGATTTCGCTAATATTGTTGAACCACTATTAGTAATCAAAAGAAAAAAGAGTAAATTTACGTGGACAGCTGAAGCTAACACAGCTTTTGAAAAGATTAAAAGAAGCGCTTATTAATGCCCCTGTTTTAAAATTCCCTGAGGGGGACGAAAACCTGGAAATTGCGGCAGATGCATCAGACTATGCGGTGGGTGCGGTTCTTATGCAAAATAACCATCCGCTGGCATTTTTTAGTAAAACATTGAATCAAACACAAAGGAATTATACAGCTACAGAAAGAGAAACATTAGCCGTATTAATGGCTGTACACAAATTTCGAGTTTATTTCGGCAAATCGCCAGTAACAGTCTTTTCGGATCATGCGGCTGTTGGTAGACTTTACTCGGGGAAAAAATCTAACGCCCAGGTTAATAAGATGGGCTTTAAAACTCCAAGAAATATAATATCACAATAAAATATAAACCGGGTAAGGAAAAACAATGTAGCTGACGCACTTTCTCGTATATAAAACTGGACGATGAAGGAAATGAACTTAAATGCGCTGTGTTTGACTTCAAAAATTTTAGATTCTAGAGATACGGTTATTACTGAACTGAAAGCTGATCCTGAATTTGGAAATATCTATGCTTATTTGAAAGACCCCGAAAGCTTTGAGCACACAGATATCGATGCGATAAGAAATAGAGCAAAAAACTATGAAATAATAGATAATTTATTATTCTATACGAAAACAACAAACGAAAATCTTGAGTATAAGCCAGTCATCCCAGCCTCGCTTCGATTAAGCA